GTGAGCCTGATAATCTGTACTGCAATTGCCCAACACTGTCACCAGAGCATGAAAGCAGACATAGACAAAAATAAACAAACAAACAAACAAACAAACAAACAGATGGGCAAGGCTATATTCCAATAAAACTTCAGGGATTTCAGAAGATGATCTGAGGGGGCGGAAAGCTGTTCTGTCCTTCCAGCTGCTTCATGTAACTCTGCTCTATTACTGATGTTCTGCCTAAAGAGTTCATTTGAAGCAGGAGCACTCTGATAAAAGCAATGAAGGTGGGGCGCCTGGGTGGCTCAGTAGGTTAAGCATCTGCCTTCAGCTCAGGTTGTGATCTTAGGGTCCCGGGATGGAGGCCCATATCGGGCTCCGTGCTCAGCAGAGAGTCCGCTTCTCCCTCTCTTTGTGACCCTCCGCCCCGCTTGTTCTCTCTCTCTCTCTCTCTCTGTCTCAAAAACAAAACAAAACAAAACAAAAAAACAATGAAGGTATCTGTTTGAACATACATGCAAGGATGCAAGGGGTGGGGGATGTCTGAACCAGGCTAATAAGGGCTGGAGAGGAAGAGCAGAGCAAAAACATCACAGGAACAGATTGATGGGAATAAAGAACACTGGAGCAGAGTGGCTTTCAGAGGGCAAAATGATTTCAATTTTGGACATATTGAGTTTGATGTGAAAGGTAAATGAGATATTGTAGAAAAAGTGCTTTGCAAACTGTGAAGTGTTAGAGAAATGGGTTATTTTAAGAGGAAATGGCTGAGGCCATTTTATGACTCAACAAAAACCCATCAACGCTCCTCCAAAACAATCAAGGCACCTGAACTCTATATTGTGGGACAGCCCTTCCATATTTCTGGGTCAACACCTTGGCACAATGATACTATTTTAATCAGTTATTTCCTGTGAAACAAGGGGCAGCTGTTCCCGTAGATTGACATGAGTAAGGATGTTTACTTGTTCACATAGTGAACAAATAAAGCCCCAGTCAGAAATCCTACAAGATTGCAGAGCTGCTTCCCTGATGACCTTCAACTGGGGTGATACTGAGCTCAGAAACAAGGGATGGAACTTGATAGGGATTCCTCGAGTGGGTTCTCATTTTAGGATTTTGGTGCAGTGTTTCCTTAAAACTTGACCTTTCTAGAAACAGATACAATGACTTTTTACACCGTAATTGTCAAGTCAAATGATTTATTATAAATATGAAAAAGATTATAAAGTAAAAAAAAAACTTTTAAAATAAGGCATATTCTTAGAGGAATTTATCCTGGTGGGAACTACCACATGAATTTATAAGACTTCCAGAATTGTTCCTTCTTTCTTACCTTGCCTTCACTTAGATTTGTTAATTATACCAGTGTGATTGAAGAGTGAAGATTGAAGTCATTACATTCAGTAAATCAGGTAGAGAAAGGCAAATACCATATGATTTCATTTATATGTGGAATCTGAAAAACAAAACCAATGAGCAAACAAACAAAAAACGGAAACAGACTCATAAACACAGAGAATAGACAGGTGGTTGCCAGAGAGGAGGGGTGGGTGGAGAATGGGCAAAACAGACAAAGAAGATCAAGAGGTACAAACTTCCTGTTTGTTATGAAATAAATTATGAAATAAGTAAGCCATGGAGATGTAAATTACATCATGGGGGAATAAAGTCAATAGTATGGTAATAACATTGTATGGTGACAGATGGGGACTACACTTATCATAGTGAGCATTTCACAATGTATGTAATTGTCAAATCACTATGTTATTACACACCTGCAACTAATATAATATATGTCAGCTGTACCTTAATTAAAAAATTTTAAATAAATGAAGTCATTAAATTTAAAGCGGACATGGGAAGTTTAATTCACTGGTGTGATAGAGGCTGACCCCATCATCCCGGTTCCCTGGAAGAAAAGAAACAATGCATATAGTGAAGTATCACTGGAACAAGCAAGCACATGAAACAAGAAGCTTCTAGTAGCTCATGGCCAGGCAGACATGCACAACCAATATGAAGGCAGTGTTGCATGGGGGTTAAGAGCATGGCCTCTGGAACCAAGTGGCTCGAGCTTCAATTTTGCTCAGTGATTTCCTAGCTGTGTCACCATGAAACACATTACTTACCTTCTTTGTGCTCAGGTCCCTCATGTGTGAAATGGAAAAATAATGATACCTATCCTTTGAGGTAGCAAGGTAACTCAGTTCACATCCATGACCACCTCATGCTCTTCCCTCCTGCTCTCCTAGCACCTATGATTATCCCTATTTGTGAATGTCTGGCATTTTCCTGAAATTAATTGCTCAATGACTTTCTCCACCACTGGAGTGCAAGCTCTTCAGTGTTGGGGATGGAGTCTTCTCCTCCTGCCTGGTGCGGGCCACTATCATTCCTTCTCTAGACAATTTCTACAGTTTTCTACACAACCTCTTGACGTCCTGTATTCTATTTTCCACAAAACGGCCAAAGATCCAGGAAATGTGAGTCATAAAATGCACAACCACCCCCTCACATTGTAGGGAAAATAAAGTTCAAGCCTCTTATGTGGGCTCCTGTCTAAAATCCTATCGTAACCTCATCTATGCTGTTCTTGCTTCTACTCACTACATCCTAGCCCCTGTGGTTTTCTATACATCAGACTTTTTCTGGCCTCAGGGCCTGTACACCTGCTTTCTTCTGCCTGGATGCCCCATTATTTGCATAACTAGCACCTTCCCATATTTTAGGTGTTAGTTTAAATATTACCTTCTTAGAGAAGCCTTGCTTCTTCATCCAGTACAAAGTAGGACTCATCACCCTATTATTCCTTAAGGCATCCTTTGGTCTGGGTCTTTTTTTTTTTTTTCCTTAAAAGCATTCATCCCAATTCATAATTATTTATTTGCCTATATACTTGATTTTTGCTGTCCACCTCCCTACCAGAATGTAGGATTGAAGAGTGCAGAGTCTGGTCCTGTCCCTACTGCCTAGCATGGTACTGAGCACACAGATGGTGTCCGTATGTATTTGTTAGGGTTCTTATTAAAGATTTATTTAGTTATTTTAGAGAGAGAGAAGAGAGCAGGGGTGGGGTAGAGGGAGAGAGAGAATCTCAAGCAGACTCCATGCTGAGCACAGAGCCCCATGTGGGGTTCGATCTTATGACCCATGAGATCATGACCTGAGCCAAAACCAAGAGTCAGACACTTAACTGATGGCACCACCCAGGCACCCCTCATAAAAAGACTCTTTTTATATCTATATAAAAGATATATATATCTTTGTTAGATTAATGTCTCCAGAGTGAGCACTTTCTCAGACCCACAGAAGATGTTGAACATAAGGATTTGCATAAACATTACAAACAAAGGTATCGCAGTCAGATTTAAAGAGGAGTTAGATAGAGGTTAGGTTCAAGCACAGTGCTGGCCAAGTACAAAAGAGATAGCAATTGGTTAGGACTAAGGGCAGGGGAAGAGAGTTGGACAGGCGGGGAATTGTGCAGATATTCCAGGTGGATGGCACAGTGTCAGCTGAGGCATGGAGTAGGGAAAATACACAGATGTGTGGGGATTCCTCAGCAGTCTGGGATGAATGTGATGAATAGAGTGGAAGGGGGGATGAAAGTGTGCTGTGGTCCAATCATCAAATTCCTGGAGGGTCGTGCCAAGAAGTTTACATTTTCATTTGAAGGCAAGTGGGAGCCCATGCTTGTTTTTTTAAGGAGATGAATAATGATCACAATGCTAATTCATGTAAAATTTGTAATATATTTCTGATAATAATGGTTATGTTTTGAGATTCCCAAGTATTCCTGATAACTTTGGCATACATTGTATCATATAATCCTAACAGCATTCATTCAACAAATACTACTGAGTGCCTCTACCAGATAATTTATTATTATCCCATTTTACACAAGAAGAAGCTGGAATTCAGAACATTTACCCTAGCTTGCAGGACCACCCAGTCAGTACGTGGAGGAGCTAGAATTAGAATCCAAGTCTGCCTGACTGTGAAGTTCAAACACATTCCAGGACACCATGCCATCTCTTTCCATTAACACATTGTAAATGAAGTCTTATGAAACTCCTATTTCTATCTTGGGCTAAGCTCTGCATAAGAAAGATGAAATCTTTGGGATAAGAGTATTTTGGTTCTTCCCTTACGTCTTAGGAAAGAAAGATTTTCCCCCAGTTCATTAAGTGTGACACCATCCAAGGGAAATTGAGCCATACGTCACCTGGTTTTAGTCCAGTGTCAGGGTGAAGGGCTCTCATTTCCTGCATGTGACCACCAAGCTTAATGCAGAGTTAAGACACATTTCCCAAAAGGGAGACATCGGGGAAGTCCCTGTTCATCTCCCTGGTATACAGCACTCTCCAGTTGGTTGTTTGCCTTTGGGCCTTAAATCGATAACTTGAACTCTTACTGACGTCCTGGCCATTGTAGTAAACTATTGATTTGGGGGTGGGCGGCTGTGGTTCTAACTGCTGAGAGGAAATTGTGATCTGAGGCGGTGTGAATGTTGACTAAGGCTGAGCTTCCGCCTGCATCCTGTGCTCGTTGGCAGAGGGGCCCCTTTTTAATACTGGGGAGAAGAATCGGGTGCCTGGCACAATAGCTTATTTCTTTGTTTCAGATCCCAGAAGAGCTTGAGCAATGTTTTCTCTTGTTCTCCCTGAGCTAAGGGTGGGGAAATTAGAAACTCACCTGGGGACCACACACAGCTCACATCCTGTGTGGTTTAATGTCCCTCGGTGGAAACAATGTTTATAGTGTTTGGGCCAACAATGCCTTCCACATGCTAAGCATTTATAGTTTAAGGAGCACTTTTCCACATACTATCTCCTTTGATGCTCATACCAACCTTGGCCAGTAGTGTTTTTTACCATCATCGTCTTTCACATGGACTATTGGGATATCCTCCAAACTTTCTGCCACCCTCTTTCTATTCCCCAACAATGCTTCCCAAGTTCTACTTCTAGAACACTATTATGATCTGCTTCAATACCCTGCCTAGCCCCCCAACAACTACAGGGTGAAATCTGGTCTTCAGTGTGAAAAGAAACACCCTTCGGGTCTCAGAGTGTCCATCTAGCTTCATCTCTCTCTCCCTCTGCCCCAGAGCCATGGTCACATGTGACATCTCTGTGGTCTCTAAATGGTACACTTTCTTTCATCCTTCATGGCCCTGGTAGCATAGAGGTTAATAACAGAGACCCTGGACTGTCTGAGCTGACCTCCTGTCACCACCACCTAGTAGATATATAACCTCAGGTAAGTTACTCAAACCCTCTATGTCTCATCTGTAAAATGGGACCACTGTAGGGCCTTCTTTCATGATGAATTGTGAGAAGTACGTGAGTTACTGATATACAGTGCTTAGAACAGCACCGTGCACAATTAGTGTCCAATAAAATTAGCTGTTTTTCTTGTGTACTCTATTGTAATGCTCTTCTCTTTTTTATATATATACCTATTAAGTCTCTATTCTTCCTTTAATGTCCTTTGTTAAATGACTCCAAATTTTCAAGGTTGCGTTTATCCGCATCCTCTGTGCTTTCCTTGAATTTTGTATAAACAAGTTTATAATAATGGCACTCAACCTGGGTCTTCCCCATGAAAGTATGAGCTTCTGAAAAGCACAGTCCATTCCTGATTCATATTTAGGTTACTAGAGCCTAACGAGATGTCTAGTGCATAATATTTTATAAATATTCGTAAAGTAAATATCCATTTTGAACTCATGAGTTAGGGTTTAAAGTGCTCATTCTTCTTATTGGTCTACCTGCTCCCATGTTCTTCCCTCAATCCATACTTCCACAAAAGCCAGAGTGACCAGCTCATGCCTGTCATCTCCTTTGATCCCTTGAGTGGATTTTTATTGCATGCCAAGAAGGTCCAGTGTCTGCCCCACGTCCTTGCAGGATCTGGCCTTTACCCTTCTACCTACGTATCATGCTACTATCCCCTTGTTCTCAGTTTTCTGGCCATGCTGGTCCCCTTTTTCTTGCTCCCAATTTGGATAAAGAACATTATCACTTGCTCTTAACCTCTGTTTGGGCAACTGTTTCCTAGGCATAGCTCAGTGCTCACTTCCTCTTACCAGTCACATCTCACTGCAGATCCCACCTCTTCAAAGAGGCCTTTCTGACCACGTTGGCTAAATGAGCCCTTTGCCATCCAGTTTCTTTCTGTCACATCACTTGCTTATTTTCTTCATGGAATGGGTTACAATCTGGAATTACATGTTTATTTTCTGACTCTTTCTACCTGGGTGGAAACTCCACTCGGGTGGGGACTTGCCCCTTTATGCACACTCACTGTTGTTCTTCAGACAGAACCTAGTAGTCACAGAGTAGGTGCTCAAAAGACAGGTCTTAAATCAACGAATAAATAAAAAGTAGGTCTTTTGAGAATGAAGCTATTCCACCTCACAAGAATCATCCAGGAATGACAAATCACAGAATAACAGAACAAAAGCCTTTGTGTATGTCAGAAAAAGAGGGTGGAAAATTGTCAAGGTATCATGATGTACCCGTCTGCGCTTCCTCAAACACAACCCAGTCCCGTAGTGTAACATAAGTTAACTTACATAAAGCTTTCCCAAACATTCTCTGAAGTATTAAAACTCTTAAGAAATTAAGAAATTGTGATTAAAGAAGTGAATGAATATGAAATGCCTTGACAGATGAATAGGTAATCACAAAGTTAAAAAGACCTGGTTTAAATAGAGAACCAGAGCAATGTGGTTCCTTGCTATCCCGGAGCAAGAGAAAATCAGGAAGAGTCTTCTTGAATGAAATGCCTAAAATTAATATTGCATTTTGTTATCTACTGTATATAGTCTAACAATAAACAATATTTGCCTAGCACTTTACATTTTAGAAATATCTCTGTTTACGTAGTTTATCTCATTTGATATGACAGTTTAATGGCACGATGACAGCACCTAGAAAATCCACATCACCTAGTTTCAAGAAACCAGCTCTATCAGTAAGAAGCCGTGACCTTGGCAAGTCACTTTTCCTCTCGTTTTCCTTTCTGGTAAAATGAAGGTGTTAGCCTAGATTATCTTGAATCCCATTCAGCTTGTCCATTGGCACTATTTGTATTTAACTTATGACAAATCATGCTTCTCTTTGACCCAGGTCCAAGGTATAAAGTTCTTATTGGGTCTTCATTCATGTTCCTAAAATCAAATTATTTGAATGATCACTCTCTTGGGTGCCTAGGTAAACAGGTAGGTAAATTAGGTAGACCTTCTTGGTCCTGGTCTATCCCTTTTAATTATTCTCTCCTCTTTGGTGCCAATTCTGACGGGTCCATCTCCCTACCTTCCTTGGTCTGATGGACTCTGCCATTTTGCATTGCACCGTGTCCCCTTCCCCAACACAACCAAGGACAGCTGTCAGCTTCACAAAGAAATGTATTTGTTCCATGTTCAAACTCAAGGAAAGTTGTCCAGTAGCTAATCTAATTTTTTCCTATCTGCCTTGGAGAAAGCCAGAGAATTTTCCCTATAATTTAAACACACCTTCTGGAGATTATGGTCCTGCTATCCTTTTCTATTTCTCTGCCATCTCCTTGTTCTGCTGGCCATGGACCCGGGTAACAGGGTGGGCAGTGTGGGATGTCTAGGGTCATGTGTGTGGTAGGCACATTGCTCTTTATCACTTCCCTTTCTATATTCTCGGGTACCTTTGCATCTCACTGGGACCCATCTATTTTTTGTCTTCTCCAACTAAACTATTTGATGCCCCTGCTTCTTATATGTAAAGTATAGTTCACTATATCCTATGATCAGGAGCCTATCTACTTAAAAAATGAAAGCTGTTTGGGTCTGACATAGCAATTCATTCCCTCCTTCCACGCATAGCTTTCCTGCATGGATAAGACCGCTCTGTAACTCTGGTGTGGTTACTGGAGCTCCGACTACAAGATGAAAACACCTGCATGGTTCTTTGAGGCATTCAGTCTGTCATATTGTGTACAAAAGATACTAACTGTCCACGTGTTCAGAAGCACCTGTAGGATCAAATATTCTTATGTTCACTCTGAAGCCTGGTAATACGCACACAAATTACCTATTTTCTTCTTCTCCTCCTCCTCCTTCCTCTCTCTCTCTCTCTCTCTCCCCCCAATATTGTGATGTACCAGTTTGGAGACCTGAATTCCGTAAGACACAATAAGATATAAGTCCATTTACGAATAAGAAAGGGTCTCTATATTTGTTCATTTACTCCTTCCTCTGGTCCTCAACTACTGTTTTGTGGCTTTTGGCAGGAGGCATGCATGTATGAGCGAGACTGTGCTAGGCTGAATTCTGTTCTTAGTAAGATTTCCAGAAAAGTATTTCACAATCAGGCTGATTACAGATGTGGCTAATCCACTTTCCCTAGGCTAATTTTCTGTGCCGCCAGGCAAGTAAGCGTCTGCCATCCAGCCATTCCTCTCCACACCCCACACCCGTGCGCGAATGTGACAACCCAAAAGGCAACTTTGGCAAATTGCGACCTGGAAACTGCGATCCTGTCAAATCCCCTCTGGAAATAGTGAGGATGAGATCTTGGACCATGTGGGATACGCTGTTTCTAATGTTTCTAATTGTTTCTAATGCAACAAAGGAAGCGCATTGAGATTCAGTCCCAAATGAGCCCACGAACTCCCGGGGGCGCCTTTCCTTCCAAGAGGCAAGTTGTCTTGACATTGGTTTTACAGAAGAATGAATAAAGCTATATTTCTTAACATTTGAAACTCTCTCCCCTCCCCCACCCCTTTTCTAGAAATTCAAGACCCTAGACCGACATCGGTAGAGACAGGGAGTATATTTTTCTTTTTTGTTCGCCTCCTTCGCAAGAGGTTTCTCTCAGGCTGTTCACTTTGCACGGTGATGCGTCAGTACCTCCCCGCGTAACTCCCGCCGCCTGGGGGGTCGCGGGGGGGGGGGAGCGGGCTGCGGCGGGGAGGCGGTTTCAGAGCTGCCGTCTGATTGGCCGGGCGGCTGCGGGGCGGCGGTTTCAGAGCTGCCGTCTGATTGGCCGGGCGGCCGCCGCTGAGCTATAAAGGGGACCGCGGCAGCCTCCGTAGCAGCTCCGAGGAGTCTGACGGCATCTTCCCCGGGAAAAGGCCAAGTGAGCTCAAAACAGAAGCCACAGCTCCTGCTGCCGCATTTCCTCCCCAGCTTGCTAATCCCACACCGAACAAGATGTGCAAAGGACTTGCAGGTCTGCCGGCTTCTTGCTTGAGGAGGTAAGATTATTTTCAGCCACTCACCGCGTTACACTTTCGGACAGACTTTCTTAGTTACTTACATATACTACTTGCTAACCTAGTTCTTTGGAATTAGAAACAGTGTGGTCAGGAGGGCCTCAACTTGCTAGCTCTCCTCTAAGACCAGCTAGAAATTGTCACTGGAGAAGTGTGGCCCCCCCCAAATGTTAGCACCTATGTGTTGTTTTATATGATCTCGGTTTTGAAGACTGTTCTGATCTTCTCACAGAACTAGTTCGAATTAAGAAGTGATACGAGTTTTCGGACCAAATACAGTGGTCTGTGATTGCTGTTGTTATTTGATCATCACTGGGGTCTGTGGAATCATGGCTCTGAGCTTTCCGATGGGGTGGTTTAGGGGAAGATACCCCAGAATGAGGTTTGACTACATCACAGGCACTGTGCTTTCTGTGTGGTGCTGCAGTATCTTCTGTCTATGTTCTTATAAGCAAGTGTGACAATACAGTATGAGTTCCAATACTAGACCCCCCCCACCCCGTCTCTCTCTGCCCCTTTCCCCAGTTCCTGAAATGCCTTATGAGTGGTGGTTGAGAAGTATTGATCCTAGCAATTCAGTTAAGGGTTCTGTAGAAGATCTCATCCTGCAGACATTGTTTTGTTGATGTACTGTCTCTTGATTTAAAAAAAAAAAAAAGGTAAAGCTACTTCATAGTTCCTCATATACCTTTGGCTTAAAAAAAAAGGTATAAATAAATGCTTTCAGAGACTGCTTATATATTAGCCAGCTGAAGAAAAACACAAAACTAGGGCATCTTATATTATTTAATATTACAGTTAAAGGTAGAAAGTCAGTCTGTGGGTGTACCACCCCCTTGCTTCCCTGCAAATAAAAATCACCTTAAATTTCAATTTAGAAATATCCCAGAAAGCACAGTCTTCTTTCTTAGAAGTTTACCTTTATACTATTCTGTCATTCAGGAGTGTGAAAGAATATTCTTTATTAAATGTGCTTTCTTGGCTGCTTTAAAATGAAGCAGGAGGGTCTGTCTGGCAGGGAATACCTATGGAGTAAGTTCCCCTGACCTCCACCATTACTATCCTGAGCTGAAGGGAGCAAATTACTCCAAGCTTCGGTTAACTCATATATAAAATTAACCACACAAAATACAGGAGTGTCAGGAAAGAGTTATGCTCTGGTAAGTATTTGGGGAGACAGATGAAAGGTTGTACTAGTCTGCCCGAGGAGCTAAGAAGCTAAACTGGGGAGGTAACCTGTATATCAGCAAGGTCAACAGCTCTTCCCTCTCCTCACTGGTCAACTGCAAATCAACTAGTCCAACACTTCACCCTAGCATCAGTGCCTGAGTCTGCAGAAGGGCATGAACTGCTCAAGGTCACATAGGCAGTGAGTGGCCGAATGAAGATCAAATCCAGCTTCCGGACTCCAGTGACCTCTGAAGTCGTGCTGGTTTTTATTTTTAAGGTTGCATTGCATTTTAAGGACAAATGTAACATACTTGCTTAGCGTACTTCCAACTCTTTATGAAATGACTTGCATTGGTCAGTAACTTAGATCTCAGCCTGACTGGGCACATGGAAATGTGAAGTGAGTTCTCTTTTGACAGAATCATTATATATTTGTATCTTGGAATCACTTGAGCCTTCATGATTATATCTTGCTATCATTAAGGAGTGTTTTGCATCCCCTGACCAGATGGAGAAGCAGAGGGGGGAAGTCAGTCTTGTGAGGAAGAGAAAATACCATTTTAGGGGCAGTCCAAGAACATTATGGAATTCAAGCTTTCTGGAGAAAGGCATGTAGATAAGCCACTGATATAGCAGGAGCCGTCCTAAAATGTCTTTTTATCCTTGTGACTTTATTTTTCTCCCTCTCAGGAGGAATATCTAGTCATTCATTTCTTCTAAAGTGACATTTATCTTTTAAAACCATTTCTTGGCTTTTATAATAAAAGAGATACAAATGAAAGAGTAATTAACAAAGAGAAAGTTGAGCTTAAAAACTTATTAAAATGTCCTTCTTTCTGAGTAAGTCACACGCCCCACTGTCCCCTAGCTACCTGTTAACCAGTGCCAGTAACCTGGAAGCTCTGCTCTAATTAAACAGTCGCTAGCTCCAGTGATGACTCTTGCCTGCTTCTCTATCGTTTTTAAGGCTTGGGTGCCCTTGATAGTGTAAATACTCTTGTAGTGTAGATATTAAACAGGAAAGCAAGTAGCAGCAGCTGCAAGAGATTTCTCTAGAAGCAAGCCTGAAGTTGCTCAGGTGTTGGCCAGAGCATTTGCGTTTGCGACCCCCTCTGCTTCCGTCTGCTGGAGCTGCACACCCACCTCTGTGAATATCCCATAACATGCATCGCTTGGCACCACCTCATGCGAGGCTTTGACCGCACAGCCTTCTCCTGCGCCAGGGTGCTTCTTTAGGTCCCTCTGCCTGCAAGGAGGCAGGTGGAAACAGCAACCACCATCCAGAAGGTGGCGTGCGACAGGAAGGTGCCACGTTCCGCAGTTACTGCTTGCTCTTCCGTTCCCACAAATTACCCAAAGAGCAGTCACATATTCACTGTGTTTCTTTTAAAGACACCAAAGCGTTCCATCGGTCGAAATGACAGGTTTTCAGAAGAGGCTCCTAAATCCGACAGAGGGTCCGAATTCTGTTGCAGACAGAGGAGGCTGGGCTGTGACTCTGGCCCCAGGTTTCCTAGCAAGTCACAGGCAGACCCAGAAGTGGGATCTCCTTTTCCTGAGAGTTCACACCAACTTCAACTCGCATTTCCTAAATAAACTCCCCCTGCCCCTTTACTAGTAATGGACTCTTTGAGCGCTGCCGCTACGGTATCTTTTAAAAGAGCTCATTAGCATTATTCTTGTTCTTCTGTGCAGTGCAAAAGATATGAAGCATCGGCTAGGTTTCCTGCTGCAGAAGTCTGATTCCTGTGAACATAATTCTTCCCACAGCAAGAAGGACAAAGTGGTGGTTTGTCAGAGGTAAGAGAAAAGGCCTCAGTGAAGACCCATTGAGTATTAACTGTTTAATGTCAGGGATGTTCTATGAGGAGAAAAGGAAGTTGTGTTCCTAGTTAAGCTAGATTTGGATCAAGATGGAGTCCATTTTCATGAAGACTGTACTTGCATTTGAAATGTCCATGCATTAAATGGAAAGACTGCCTTAATCAATAATAGGTCTCATCGTAAGAATGGGAAAGAAAATATCTGCATGTTTTTCAGGATCTTAAATTTCTTGCCCTAAGTTTGTATCATGGCATTCAAGTTATTCTTTCTCTCTATAATGTCTCTAGGGTGAGCCAAGAGGAAGTCAAAAAATGGGCTGAATCACTGGAAAACCTGATTAGCCATGAATGTAAGTTCGATGGCTTTCTTCCCCACTAGGATGAGGACAAAAGCTCTCTAGATAGACAAGTTATCTCATAGTACATTTGGTCTAATAGGAAATGCAGACAGAATTGGGTTTCTTCTGACTTCCAGACTCAGGAGAACCCATCTGTTTCAAATTTTACCATGCCTTCAAGCTTTGTGATAGACAATGGGAAGTTCATACGGAAACCATGTAGAAAACCATCTTTCTCACCACATGGGAAAAAGGTAGAGGGAAAAAGTTCCACGTATGAAGACTTCTTGCAGAATCAGCCTTAGTTTTTCTTTCTCAAACTTACTTTGGTAATTGGTGGCTGCATGCGTATTTCAGAAACACTGAGACTTCAAACCTTGAGCGAGAAACGCTAGGTATAACTGGGATCCAATAGATGTCAAACAGATTACAGTCACCTGACCCCAAGGGACCCCCAGAAAGTGGGGGAGAGAGGAGGATGTTTGAACACATGCTTTATTCTCTCAAGCACCTTGGCTTTCTCTGAAATACACTGTCCCAAGAGGCCTGCCAGTGTGATGACGAGGGTGGCTCTTTCTCCTCCATCACAGGTGGGCTGGCGGCTTTCAAAGCTTTCTTGAAGTCTGAATACAGCGAGGAGAACATCGACTTCTGGATTAGCTGCGAAGAGTACAAGAAAATCAAATCCCCCTCTAAACTAAGTCCCAAGGCCAAAAAGATCTATAATGAATTCATCTCAGTCCAAGCAACCAAAGAGGTAGGTCTTTGTGGCAGAGAACTCTCTGGATCTTAGTGAAATTTCCTGCAAGTGGTATTCAGTGGTGTGAATCTTTAGATCATCTGAGTTAAGGAAAAAGATCTAACAGTGGAGGAAGTCATTATAATCTCCTCAACCCCAAATCCATCAGTTAAGAAAGAAGCTCTTTGATCCAGATGACTTAGGTGATCTCCCTTAATGAGTTTTTTGATAAATCTTCCCGATTCATGAGAAAGAACAAAGATATTGCCCTGCCCACCCAGAAGCAGATGAGCCTTTTATACTCTCTCACATGTGCTGGGGTGGAGCTAAATGTTCTTTTCACTTCTGAGGTATGGAGGGTGCACACGGATTACTCACCACAAAGCATGTGGCCTCCCATCCTCAACAGGACAATGTGTCTAATACATCTTGGCCTTTACTCTGCAGGTAAACCTGGATTCCTGCACCAGGGAGGAGACAAGCCGGAACATGCTAGAGCCCACAATTACCTGCTTTGATGAGGCCCAGAAGAGGATTTTCAACCTGATGGAAAAGGATTCATACCGCCGCTTCCTCAAGTCTCGATTCTATCTTGACTTGGCCAACTCTTCCAGCTCTGGGTCAGAGAAGCAGAAAGGAGCCAAGAGTTCTGCAGACTGTCCCTCCCTGGTCCCCCAGTGTGCCTGATTCTCACAGTGTGCTGGGGGGCTGAGATGCCAAGACTCTATGCCTGGAACCCCTGAGGCCAAATATTGATCTGTATTAAGCACCAGGGCTTTATCCACATTGTAGCTTAGTGTTCCTGCTGCCTGCCATGTGTGAGTCACTCCCGTGTAAGAAGTAGATCTAGTTTTGGTGTTTGGGTGTCCATTAGGGCAGGACCTCATTCCAGTCCAGCTTTCCCAGAATTCCTTAGGGTGCCACATGAGCAAGTATCCAAAGAATGGTTTTATAGGGGTGGCTTCCCAAAGACTGTTGCAGTTCTCTCCTCCCAATGGCTTGACCTCAGATTGGTTGGTTGGTACATTTCATGTGACATCCACAAGCACGTGTATTCTGTTGGCACTTTCTCTAAACACTAGATGTTAAGATGAGGTTGATCTATTATGTGTATATATGTGTGTGTGTGTAAATATATGTATATACACACATATATTTACACACACACGCATATGTACACATTCTATGTATATGTGTCTATATGTATATATACATATATATTTCTGCAAGAATAGACAGGAAAGACCCTAGGTGCTCATCCCTAGAATGTGTGTACATACCTACATGCATGTTCTGATCCCTGGTCTTTCATCCTGCAATCAAACAGGCAAACAGAACCAGTTGCCATGCAGGCCAAGAGAGGAATGCTAATCTGTGGAAAGTTGATTCTGTAGAACTCCACAGGTCGGTGTTGGAGACGCATCCAAGGGACTTTATGCATAGTTCAACCACTGACAGCCTCCACGCTGAATGGTATTCTAAGGAGCAAATATCATAAAGAGTCTTATGCCTGGCTGACACAGTTCTGTCTTGGGCTGGTTATTACTGATGGCACTTTTCAGTCCCGAAACTGCTGGCCTCCCCTTCTCTGCCCAGGTGCTTGGTACATGGTTATCAGCAGCCGGGTTGTTAAGGGAGTTGGGAGAGAAGATGCTTGAACCAAATGAAGACACGCAGCTAGGGTTTCGCCAGCTCTACCTGCTGTAAAATACTGGCTGAGTGAGGGCATGGGACTTCAAGGTTAATAGTCTTAAACTCTCCTCTTTTTTCCTCTCCTGATCAAGGTGCTTTTCTCATTTTGTTTTTTCCTGAGGACTTCAGCCATCAGATGAGGCTCCTTACTTCACTGTGTGGTTGGTTGGTTGTTTCCCTGTAATGGCTCCAGGCTATATGCCTCCCCTTACAAACCAGCAGTGAAGGAAGGAGTATACTTTATAAGGGAGAAACATGTTTTTGCAAACTGAGAAGCCCTCATAAGTTTCTCTTTTGAAAGTAAGACCTTGTTCATTCCACCCCAAACATCAGGGCTAACAAAGCCTGTGGGTATCTCTTTCCAGGCTCCGAGACTAAATGAGAGAGGAAAGGAAAAAAAAAAGAAAAGAAAAAAAAAAGGATACCAATTGTTAGAACTACTGTTTGGAACTTTTCAAGGCACATGAAATACTTGAAAATTTCTCATTTATGTTATTTATGATGTTGTTTTCTACAATGTTTTTATTATTGTTTGTTTTATAAATGGAGGTGCAGGATATCACCTGAATTATTAACAAATGGCCAGGAAGTAATTTTCTTCTCATTCTTCTAAAACTACAGCCTTTGAAGTGCACACCCACATACACTCATGCATGCACATTGCACCAATTCCTCCAGCATAAATTACATGCGTGAGCACCTTGTGGCTTTTAAGCCAACAGACGGGGTTGCAGAATGAAAACACCGGAGTGTGTCTATACAAATCTCACTGTATTAAAGATGTAGGTTTTCTCCGTTGTGCCCTTCTTGTCTCTCTGGCAGTCTTACTTTCCATGTTCCCAGAGTTCTTCCTCAATGTCACTTTTATTATACTTAGTTCCACAGTTTTGTGTCTAGTTGACTCCAGGATCCAAACTGTAACTCTATTGATCTTGCCCTATTACAACTGTCACGACTTTCAGATTGTACCTGTGCTCATGGGCTACTGTCTTACAAAGAGGTCCAGAAGGTCATTCTGAATGAGAAGTAAATTATTTTATGTAATACAATTTTCAAGTGTGTTTTTCAATTGTATTTTCCTCTTATTTTACCACCATCTGACATGCTGAGCTTACCTGCTCATGATCTGTGGGCAGAATACTTCCCTTTGCATGCCTGCTTTTATCATGTGCTTGAAAGGCCTCAAAGCTGATGCTTCCAGGGAAACACACACATCTTAATAAGGGTAAATAAATGCTTCATACGAAACCATCTGCTTGTAAACACATTAATGATCCACAAAGACATGTGATGAGAAACAGCAGGGTGTAGGGCGATGACAGAACATGGCTCATGTCCAGTCTCCAATCTGTCCCGTGCTAACTCTGGAGAAGGAAACAGAAAATGAATGTCCTATATTCTTCTGTTCCTGCCACTGCTCTGACTCCCTCTCATCACAGAGCTGAGGCAGTCTTGGCTCCAGAGACTTTGCTCAACAGACTTGGTGGTTTACTTGAAGGTCCTCAGTAACTGGTCAAGAGAGAGAGTTTGCCTTTCAGAGCTGCCCTTCTTCTGTCTCCAAGTACCTGTCTGATGAGAGAAGGTGGGAACAGAGGAGACTCAGAAGGTGAATGGGAGCTGTAGATACCTGAGGGACAGATTCCTGCCCAAACTGCTTAAAATCCTTCTCCCCCCACCTCCTTACAGATTCTGTCCCCTAGAAAGGAGGTATAGAATGTTTCTATTCACAGTCATGGGTACAAGGTCTGTTATGCCATGAGACCTCCATTTCCTGAATTCTACCTTTCCCATTGTGAGAGTCAGCTTACAGGGTGTTAAGGACCATAGATTTCAAGCTATTTTGAGGAAGAGATCCTTTCAGGGATCTGACAAAAATTATGGACCGTCTCCTGAGAAAAATACACAAAGGAACCCAAATTCATCAGAAATATTTAGAGGGAAGTTTTACAACCTCCCCTTCAAAACACACAGGGCTGCCCTTCCCCCTCTCCCACATGCATGTGTCAGACTCCCCACGAGTGCGTGGTTGCTGCTGCTCGTATGTAGTACCATCTTCCAAGTATCACAGAGGAATTCAAGTCACTGCTATTAGCAACTCTGAGCAGTATGCTTGTCTCCAATCTCCACCTTGCCCATCCTTTCTTCTTGATGGTCAGCCATGAAATAAATAACACATATGTGCAAATTCTTTCTGACTGCGATCAACGACCATGTTTTGAAAAACACTTATTATTGCTTGTTATGTGCCAGATATTGTCCTAAGCTCTGTATATATGTAATAAATTTAATTCTCACACCAACCTTTAGATAGAGATGCCAGTCATGGGCATGGCCTCTGCAAAACATCTGCTGATTTTTATGGACGAGGAAACTGAGGCACAGCTAAGTTAACAAACGTGTCAAGGTCAAGCTGCCATCAAGGAGCAAAGCTGGGATTTGAACTGAGTCTTCTTTGCCCCAGAGGGTGGCAGAGACTCGAGCATTCACCAAATACCCACACACCAATGGATGAGGAGCAGAGTGTCATTTTCAAACTTATATGGTCAGGAATAGAGCCAAATGCATTTCCATCTCTCTCTTCTCCTTCCATGGCAACCATGGAGATTATATGTTTCAGATTGTGTAGCAGCAGGATGAAGGATGCTTTGACTCACTTCAGAATATCAAGTGAATAAGGAATAAATCATTGCTGATTCGAGTCATCTGTTTACAAGGCTGTTTGTTACTGCAGCAGAGCATTGCTTATCCTGAGAAATGCAGAGGCTATGCTCTTCAACATTCAGTTATGTGGTTGTCATTTTATTGTGTGGGGACAGGCACAAGGGTATGGATAAGGGGACTCCTTTACATTATACCAATTTGCAAACAAAACTTGACTCTGTAGAAACTCCACGACCCGTGATGTGCCAGGCTGTGTCCCAGCACTCCATGTTAATAGTGCTTAGATGTTTAGAGTTAGAAATGAGATGATAGAAGGAGGAAAGAAGAAAGAAAAGTTAAAAAGAGCCATTTCCAGGGAAAACTCACTATCCATCAGCCTAGGCCCACTGTGGACAGACAAAAAAAAAAAAAAAAATTAGTTGAGCAAGCCAGCCAGATAAATTGGCTCATGTGGCTGCCAAGACTCAAAAGCATAGTAAAAAGAAGGGGGGGGGGGCTCCATTCACTTAATTCAGAGACTGAATTCAAGACATGAGTTTGCTTAGGCCATTAGACTGCATGATGGCCACTAAATTGTTCATCATTAAAAACAGTGGTGTTAATATGCATTGCTTTCTGGATGTCACAGAGAAATGACATAAGAAAGGAAAATACTGGGTTTTGACCTTTTTGTGGTATAGAATAGAGGCAGAGTTGAGTGAGGTGACTGAGGAAGGGTTCGCCTAGAGACAGCATCCAATGTTTAAGGTTTTGCATACCAAGTGATAAGGACCGAGCACTGACCAAGGACTACTGAATTTCTGAAGCACATCAGTGGAGGTCAGCAATGCCTGGAGAGAGAACTGGGTTTCCAAAGGAAAACTAAAAGTTAATAGTAGCATCTTACATCTATGGCAGACTTTTTAATTGTCAAGTCTATGCTGAATGTTTTCCATGATCTCATCTAACCCTTAGACCTAAACTCTAAGGGAGATGTGATTAGTAGCTTTCCATTATGGGTGGAGAAAATGTGACACAGGCAAGCTCAGAAATTTACCCAAAATCATATATCAAAGAAGTGGCAGGGCATGGGTCAAACCCAGAAATCTGCCTCCAGAGTAAACACGTTTAATTAGTCAAGGAGAAGGGGAAAGGAGGAAGGAGAAGGAAGAAGGACTTACAGCAAGTAAGGGGAGCCTAACAGGAAGAACTGGAAGTAGAAGGGAGAGAAGAGGTAAAAAGATGAAAAGAGAAAGAAATGGAACACCAGAAGGGATAGAAAATGTGAAAGGAAAGACCATGAAATATCAAGCAGAAGAAACAGGAATAAGATGCATGTTGTGAGGAAGGACAGACTGCCAAACAGTCGCCCGTGCTGGCATCTGGGTGGCTCCCACCGCAGAGCATCCTGCTGCTGCCCCGAGGTCTCTGTGCCCTGTCTGAGCTGGGGCAGGTAGAAGGTCTCTCTGGGACTATGGAAAAGGGAGTTTGGGAAGCAGGGGATAAAAACCAGGTCAGCTTTCTCTCTAAGGATCACTTCTCTGTTTCCTCTTTCTCTCTCTAAATTTCCCAGATCCAGAGCAAGTCTTTAACCAACCCCCTTCTCCCCACCCAAAAAAAACACCAAAAAAAAAAAAAAACCCTAAATGAAGAATGAAAAAGGATAGAAGAACAGGCCAACTTTCCCTTGGTTCCAGTACATTACCGGTTTGGGGTGACATTGCACAGGAACTGCAAGTCATTCAGCCATTGTAGGGGTCATACACCGACAGGACCCCAGAGGGAAGCAGGCATTTGGCACATGGTCCTGGTCACATTGCTCCTGCTCCCCCTGGGAGGGAAGCCAGTGAGGACTGTGGGTCTAGGTTAAAGGGAATTGCCCCCCACACAAGTCTGATCAAGACAACAGCATGTGCCAATCAGCAGTGAGTTAGACTGTGGGAATTGGGGGTGTGTGTGACCTCTTGAGATTCACTCTCCAGGGTTAACGGGGGGGGGGGGTGTGGGGCGTTGCTTTTGAAGAAAGCAAAGCAAGAGTTTTGCGATTTTTTAGCAGTATTATTTGTATAATTCCCAGATTATTCCACCAATCCATCTGGCTTTTGAGTTGCTGTCTTCTATCAGGGCCATGTAGCTCCGAGATGTCCCCTCAACAGCAACCACATGTGATGGAAAACAAATCCAAGCTATGTCATGTCCAAGACAAGGCCTGCTCATTCCTCCTCTGACCTCCATGCCTGTATGCTCTGCCTCCCTGCTTCTCTTCCCATCTCTCCTCTGTAGGACTTGGTACTTTCTGCTACCCTTGCCATGTTGCTAATAATTCCATACTTTGGGATGTTGGAAAGGACAACTGCTAGAGCAGCTTGCAAGTTCTAGATCAATTCTCTTCCAATTCCTATCTTGGAGACACCTTCCCTTACCTGGGACCCTTTGAACTGGAAACTATAGAATGACCCCCGGTTCTTTCTCACTCCCTCCCTCACACCTAGTAATTACCCTGCTCTGCAGAATTCCTCTGGGTAAAATCATTCAAAGCCTGTTCCTGCCTCTCTCCCGGTGTGACCATGGCAGGCCCTTCCTCTGGGCCACCGTCATACGTGGCCAGGCTGATTGCCTTCTGGTCTCTTCCCCTCCAGTCTGATACCCTCTGATTCACTCCATGTAACCACCAGTCAGCTCTGAGAGGCACATTTGACCTCTCCCTCTCCTGCTGAAAATCTACAATGCTCTCAACCCTCCAGGTGAGCTCTGAGATTTTGAACTTTATGATTTTGAATTTTTTCTAGCTTTCTGGCCTCATTTCTGATGACTCCTCCTCTGATCCAGCTGTAATGATTTGTGCTTCCTGATGGGGCATTCTGTTAATTGCCTCTTATGATAGTTTAAGCCAGTCTTTCCATCCTTCTCCTTCAAACAGCTACATCCTACTGTTTATTTTAAACTCAGCTCAAGACCTATCCACAGTGAGAAGCCTTCTCCCCTTCTTTGACAGGACTTCATCGTTTCTCTGATGTCAAGGCTTCCCTTGGTATTCTATCATGTTTTCATTGCTACTAGCACAATGTAACCATCGATTTATGAGTGTGTCTCCCAAACTACATGGCCAAGTCCTCAAGGTTACCAACCATGTCTCATTTGATTTTATAATCCCCGCACCAAGTAATGAGCTTAATACATGGAAGGAGACTATTTGTTGACTGAGTGACCACCTTCAGTTTTACATACCCCTGGATGCAAATAGGAAAGTGATCCATCAGGCCCTTCCCATGTCCCGAACACTTACCATACACTGAGTGTTCACATGAGCCTCCTCAGGCTTTACTGTAATCTCACCATTTTCCTCTTAGAAAATGCAGGGATATTTCTCCCAGCCTTGTGCTAGGGGTTGGGGATGAAATAAC